CCAAAGCTATTCGAGTGCTCTGAGAAAAAGGAGGTGCACTTGCACACTTCAGAATGCACACCGACACTGATTGAGGCCGTGGTCGATAAACATAACCGGTACGACGACACGTTAGCAGTCTTCAACTTGTGTCGCGCAGTGTTATAGAACCACTGCGCGATACGAGGAAAAAAAGCTTCAAAGGCGGCGACACCAAAAATATGTTAGACCAATTTTTCTTTTATCCGCGCCGTGAATACGAGCATCTGATGCATATGTTTTGGTTTTGTTTATTAGATTGAAGGGCATATGTGAGGCAGATGTTGTGAGGTATGTTTTAGAAGTTTTCACACATCTTTCGGGGGGGGGGGGGGGGGGGGGGGGGGGCTCACATTCACTTACGAACTTCAGAATGGGACTTACCTACGATTTTTGGATTTGAGATTAGAATTCATTGCTAAACACGTTTGCTGGCCTTAACGCCCACGCTCAAAGAAGGGTCTTCTTCCATATAATTCATTGAACTCTAAGCTGGTCAAGAGAAGCATTGCCTCGTCTTGCCTACAAGCTGCACTCGAGAAGTCATGTCATATTGTGGTTAACGATAGTTTTTCCCGGCAGGTTGAGAGGCTGACCGTGGCAGGTTTCCCAACTTCAGTTTTATTGAGCGTTGCGGAGGGTTTGCTAAAGAAACTCAAGGGGGAACCCCGTCCCCATGAGGGAAAGGCCGAATAAGAGACCGCTCGTAATACAGTATCTCTATAAAATTTCACGCAACTTGAAAAAAGTTGCCTTGAGGTACGATGTGCCATTGGTGTTTTCCGCTCCGTGTAAGCTGGCGCAACTATGCGCGAGAGGTGGCGATAAGAAGGACAAAGGCCCCGCTTGCTCGGTGAAACATGAAAATCAATATGTTGTTTGCAGGGTGGGAGTTGTGTACACGATTCTACTAACGCGTGGAAAAGCCTACGTCGGTCAGACGGGCAGATGTGTTAATCACAGACTGCGGGAGCATGACTTGTCGTTGCTATCAGTGGTGGGAGATGTAGGGGGGGCATCTGCCATTGCATTTTCATGGATGCGGGTGCAAACCTATCTTCAGTAAGACTGGTATTATTGGCAATGGAAGGGACGGAGTGAACAGAGAAATCTTAGAGGCGCATGCAATTATCAAAGTAGGCGCCAACCGCGTAAGTCAAATGTCACTGGGCTTAAGTAGTAAAGAGGTTGTTTTTTTGGACACGTGGTGAATGTATCATGTGACCTAGGCGAAGTTGCTCTTTTCTTTTGTTTTCATGTGATTAGAGTTCAGTTGAGAGTCAGCGCTTGTCCTGTTTGCGTTTCCTTTGGTCCCCGTTTACTGTGCGCTGTTTACCTTTTCGTCAGTGTGAACCAGTTAACTAACCCAGATGGCCACCCTTATTCATGTGATGCATCATGCGCAACAACAACAACACGGGACATATAACAGCTCTCGCTCAAAACACACGCTGCTGCTCAACAAATAGCATTAGTATAGATTTCTCACCCTCACTAGCCTACATTAGTAAGTTAAAAGACAAAAAACGCACTCTGCGGCTCAAAAAATAGCTTTAGTATAGATCTCTCACCCCCATTAACTCACATTAGCAAGTTAGAAGACAAGCTTTTAACTAGCTCGTGTTTGCTGGCATTATTTAAGCTTGATAAACGTGTATATTGTTCAGTCCGCTCAAATGCACATCCGTCTAGGCGTTGTTGCTAAGTGCCCATCAAAACGCTAATATCAATATAAAAAAAAGAGGTATCTCCATAAGTTCTTTTTCCTACTTTTTGAACGGGGTTGTAATTTTTTTTTCGGATACGGCAGCATTATAGCCTACATCTCTCGCAAAAGATAAGCACATTTGCTGTCCCGAGAATAATAAAAAAAAAAAAAAAAAAAAAAGAATAGTGAAAACCAAGGAAAAGTCGTGTTTCAGCCAATTAAGCTCAGACATCAACACAGACGATCCAGAACATTTCGCAAGCGGTCACAGACGGTTGAACTTCCAGACATAAGATGCCAGCCCGCGCCTGCGACCTTGTACAGTCCACGCGATTGAGTTGCGTCAGACTTGCTGCTGTGCTGCGAGTCAGTGTGGATGTCTGAACGTTACGAAACGGTCTCGTTATTTTCTCATTCCAGCATTAGTTGTATTATTGGAGACGTCCGTCATAATGCCTAAGTCCCGTCCATCATTACTTTCTTCTTTCATTCCTTTTATATTCAATAATACTGTTAATCTTTTTCGAGGTTCTTACAGGAGACGATCAAAAACAAAACTATACAGGCTGCACTTGCCAAATAACCGGGAACAATAATCTCATAATCTATGGTTTTATTGCTTTGTCATAAAAATGTCTAGTAGAAACAAAAAAAAAAAAATGATATATTATATTTTTTTTAAATTTAAGATCGTCATTAAAGTCGAACTAAAGAAACTGCAAGGAATTTATTCATTTCCCCTCGATGTTTCTAGGCTCGCACAAACACAAGGCTCTCTAGGAGACATATCAGGGGTGAATATTATGTAAATAAAGCCTGCAGCCAGGTTTTGCAGAAGTTTAAGTTTTAAAATGAGTACGATGTGTGTGGACCTCTCGAATGATTTTTGTTATATTTCAGTACCGATCCAACCAGAATGTATACACTAATAGCGTTGTCTAACAATGCTTTTCCAGATGTTTTTTTAGTATACTGTGTGTCACGTGCGAAGTCGGATATAATAATGAACGCCGAGTACTTGTTCAAGCATACTCTAACCAAAACGATGGATACTAATAAAATAATAAGAAAGCTACGGGTAATTGGCACGCAAACAGTTTTTGATTAGCTTAGAGACATTAGCTAGTTAGAATACCGTCTAGTCTAGATATATTTTCTAAAAAGAAATGTAGCACTTCATAATTCAGGAAAGTTTTGATTTCTCAAAATATGCCATAATCATTTTTCCTCTCGGGTATCTTAACTGGGGCTCCAATAGCAATATCATTAACAGGTATTGAGAACAATATAGTACGATACTGCTAGCTACACCAACGCATCCGTATTGTTGAAGAAAACACAGCCTCGTGCATTCGTTGGTGCTATATCTTATCCAAAGATGAGTTTGCGTGGTCAAACGTTATGTCGGAGTATGGCGTTGATATAAAAACAGATAACCGTTATTTTTGCAGTGTCAGCAAATAAGTATTAGCCAGTACGCATACAAATGGGTACTCTCGCAAGTTATTTTTTTATAGATAATCAGCACATTTGCAGATTTTAGTTTAAATAACTATATAACTACATTTACGTCTTCGAAACATTGTAAAATAGTCGTTATCGGATCTCGCGTACGAGCGTGAACACCCCTATTTTTATGAGTTTCATACATAGACGTGCGCACTGAGGCAACTGATAACGTAGGCGTCCGCACTGCTTGTGGCAGGATCCAGGTTCCCAATCAAGGCTAGTGAATAGAGATACATCTCCGTTATATCCGGTTTCTGGGCAATGGAATCGTCTACGGTTTGCAACTGTCCCGCGTAAAGCGCAAAAAAATGTCTACATTAAATTTAAAAAAAAAGAAAAACGCGAACAACAACACGAGTCTGCATAGGCAAAAACAGCACAGATTATAACATTCATCTAGCACATGCTATCTGAGAAAAACAAGTCGGCTCGCAAACCCAATAAAGTTATTCATTTAAAGTGGTTATAACAAACGCTTTCAAACTGTATAAGATTCAAGCAATAAATAGTACCGTGTATACGAATAAATAGACTCATTGTTCATAAACAAAGCCTCCGCGTTAACTTCCCCGCGGAGCACCCGGATAGCCAATCATCGCGATCAACACCGCGGAAAATCGTTTGCTCGGCAGCGTTGTTCGCTACGTCTCTTATGTAGAGCACGACTGTTGGCTGAGCGGGTGCTCGCTGGAAAGCTGTCGCGCGAACACTGCTCATAAACAGTGCCTTCATTGCAAGAGTATTACTCTGAATAACACACGTAGAATTCGCACAACAAGGCACGTCGCTGCCCTTATGTCATGAAAGAAAAATTTAGCGTAAGATAATGCGAGTGCTGGCAACGTTTCGGTGACGGTACAGTGGCCACGTCAGCACTGTAATCAGATTCACATAGCTGTTAAAATTCCTTGGTTCTTGGTTTGGCTGTTCCAATTTCTCTCCTGAGCTCTCTCTAGACTCAGTCACGGCCTAGGAAGAGCCGTACGTCGAAAGTCGCGGCCGTTGAATGGCGCAGGGATTGATTGAACTGCATCTCTTCAGTACACACTTTGAGAATGCTGGAGCACCTACTTTCCCGCAATACACTTGAGATAGCTGATCGCTGCAATGTACGGAGGGAACTCGACGAATGACGAGGCCGGAAATATGATTAGACCGAAGAAAAAAGTGCACCCTATAACACTAAGCACGTTGAAACGCCATGCTCAGTGTCACAACGCAATATTGCTTTTTAATTTTTTTTATTAATTAAACATTTAGTTGGCTGACATAATGCCTAAGATGGCGCTTTGTTTATCCCAATATCTTTTTGTCTCGTACTTTACAAAGTTTCCTCCATAGATTGCAGCGATTGGCTCTCCCCGATGCCTCACGGGAGTGTGGACGCACTTAAAGTTATGGCTCCGGGAAAATACGGAAAAAAGTTTCCCACCGTTTAAAGTTATAGTCCATAAACTTGAAATAAGGGAAAAGTGTGGCCACTATACCCTGTTTCAGCTTATGTTGTACCGCAGCGAAGGCTAGAAGCGCGAGCTCATAGCGTTGGCAACTGCCCTTAGTGCACGAGAGCTTGTGCCGCCGAGATGTGCACTAGAGCAAGGAGCTCGCGCTTGTAGCCTTTACTGCGGTACATCATAAGGTGAAACGGAGTATAGGTCTCCAGGGCCTCAGCCATGGTATCAGACTAACTGTCTCGACGCTTCCTTGATTACTTCCTTCGCGACTCCGTGTGGTTAACAAAGACGAGGAATGCATAATCGCTCACCTTCTGAACTCGAGGATGGCTTTGATGGAAGCCGGGATACCGTTGTCTGGCCACGACAGGAAGTGGAACTGCGTCACTGTACGGGTCTCGCTCGTCTTGAGGTTCTTGAGATAGAAGCTGCGGACCAGGTAGTCGTCGCACCAGATGTGCTCCGACACCAGGTGCACCTGAATATCAGACGGCAGTACCAAACTTCAGAATAAGTCAATCTTGGGTCGAATAAGTCACGGTATTTAATAACCAGGGAGACCTCATTTTTGCATCGCTATTGTTAGGTCTATGTTTCTTTGTCAGAACAGACATTTTAGAACACTGTCTCCAGGCTGGCAATTAGGACCAGCCATTTATGCCTGAGTCCTACCCCAAGGCACTACTCAGAAACAGTAACAAGTCACAGTTCCCAGCTGAAGCCGATAAAATATAGTTAACGTTTTAAACATAATATCTTTATTATCGTCATGGAGACACAATTTATTATCCTAGTTTCAGATGCGTTCTGTAATCAAAGATGAAGGCTGATCGCACAAATACGAGAAGTTATTACGTTGCAAACAAAACTATTTTATGTGCGCACGGGTGCTACAACTAAACCAACAGTAACAACATCCACACTCAAAAAGAAAAGAAGAAAAAAAAGAAAAAAGGAAGCTACGTTGAATAATAAAGCCTAAAGTTGCTCACACTAAAAAAAAAAAAAATCGTCCTTATTTGTTTTTTTGTCAGCGGCGTTTGACAGTGCGGAAGCATCCAGGGAGAAGACCTGCTGCCCGAAGAAAGTTTCCGGGGATAATAGCTTTCTACACTTTGCTTTTCTTTGTCCCTTCCGAAGGAAAACAGTTATCACAAGGGGATTTTGGGCGGAAATGCTGCGCATCGTGCGTTTGAGGCAGCGATCCGCCTATAGCCCGTTTCAGCTTACGATGGGCCTCGGCTGACCTTACGAGCCATACCAGCCAATAAAAATGCCGTGCGAGTGCCGCCTAACCTTCGAAAGGGGGCGCGGCGACGTTCTCTGGCTGTGTAGTCACGTGGTACGTTGACAGAGCTGGATTGGCTGGGATTGCTCGTAGCGTCCGCTGTGGTCCAGGATAACGTGACACGGGGTATAACAACGTCGCGGCCCTGCTCTTGTTTCACTCGGAAGTGGAGGAGGGTAAGATGGTGCATTAAGACAAAAAAAAAAAAAAAAAGGACAAGAAAAACGGGGTTAAAAAGAAACATTCCGCTATCGAGTAACGAGATTTAAATTACTCAGGAATCCGCGAAGCACAAAGATGCGAACCAAGAAAAAAAAAAAGAATAAAGCAAAAAGGGGAAAACAAAAGTTAGAAATTGAGGCGACGGAGAAAATTGCCGAGAGGCGGCGGTGGCAGTGCGTGGATAAGTATGGAAAGAGGAGCGACGGCTCTCAGCCCCGGCACGGGGTATAAAATTTCTATAAATCGGGCAGCGAAGCCCCCCTCGCGACGGACTTGTGACAGGAATTCTTCCGCTCCTCTTTCGTTTGTTGACTTTTTTCTCACACACGAATCTCCAAACTTATTCTCGTATCTGTTATCCGCGCGAACTAAACATCAATGCACATAAGTGCCACGTCCAAACGTACACAGACACACACACACAAATGCACCCCCTCGCATACAAACACATGCGCGCGCGCACACACATACACATACGCACGCACGCACGCACGTGCGAACCCTTCGGGGCTGTCGGGTTTCGGGAGCCGTTAACATTTCGCTCTTGGTCGCGGTGCTTTTTTTGTGTTTTTGTTTCCTACGTTTCATTCGACGCCCCGTCAGCTCCCATAGTCACGACGTTGTCCATCCCAGCCTCGGTTTTCGTCGTAATTAAAGAAGTCTGCGTACACACCCAAACGTACGTACGCACGCACGCACGACCTCACGCAGCAAAGCAGCTAGAGTGTTTAAACCGTCGGGAGTGCGATAGAAAAAAAAAAAAAAAAAAATAAAGAGAAAAATTTACGCGGAAGCAAAAAGCGCGGTTAAAAAGCTCTCGAAAAAACAAGGAGAAAATATACCACCGGGAAACGTAGAATTACATTGGCATCGTCTGGCAACCACTAATGAGAGCGACCGAGGCGGTTCCTGTCGGTGGAATTCGGCGACTCGGAATTACTCGTTCGTTCCGTCTGATATTTCCAAAAAAAGAGAGGGTTTGATTGCGTCTGCAAACCAGTCAGAGCTTGCGCGCTATATTTTTTTTTCTTTTCTCGCGTTCCAACGCTTGTTGAGTCAGCGGAAAAGTCCGAAACGCGGAACTTGGTTGCTAAGCCTTACTTTGACTGGATCAAAGGGAGCCAAGCTGCCATACGAGGTTCGAGACTAGGGTATACAGATGGCGCAATCAGAGCCAGTTTGGGAGGTATTTAATAATTTCTTTTATTTATTTTTATCTTAGTTTCGTACGTCAGTACTAGGTCCCGTTTATAGAAAGTGTCTTCTAATTAAGAATATTGTTCGGTGTCGGGTCTGAAAAGCGCATACGCGCGCGGATGCCTGTGCTCAAAGGCGGTGTACGTTTGGGAGCTTCGTACGCGCTAACGAACTTGTCAAATGGCGCCCGCGCGCTAATCGCGTCTCATCGAGTCGGTACTCACAGTCGCTTTTCTGTCGACTGCGTGTTTTCGCCACGACGTGCCAGAGAAGAGGAATCCGTGGCTTCCGTCGACGTACGCTTGTGCGTGTGTGCGAGGCGCCGCTGCCAATATCCAAATACGCCGGGAGAGGGCGCTAGCATACGCAAAACCGCAGGAGATGCGTGAAAAAGGTACTCGCGCGCTCTAACTCCTTGAAAGCGCTGCAGATGGACATCATGTGTTAAGGGCGCAATCCCTTTTCACTGTTCCCCCCAACTGTGCACGGGGGTTTGTTTTACCGAGAATGCCGCGTGCTGTCGGTGATTTTGCGTTCGACCGAGATTTAGTTCTAAATTTCACGGCAAGTTATAGTATATGGTGATGTATCAGGAAGATTCGGTGGCCGAGCGGGCTAGCGCACGCCAGTTCGGTGCACGGGTAGCGAAAAATCGCGCTGCAGAATTCCCAGGGATTTTGGGCTCGATTCTTAACTCTGCCCCTTTCGGTCTGGGGCCCTTATCTGGACACTCGGCGAAAAAGTCGGCGAGAAATCCGGCGCCCGTGATTAACCGACGCCGCGCTTGACCTTGACACCGGCCAATCACAGCCACCGGATTTCTTGCTCAATTTCTTTCGCCAAGTGTCCAGGTTAGGGACCCGGGATGAGCATCATATACCGGCGTGTGGTCGTGTATCACTACTGCGTGATGCATGTTAAAGACCCCAGGCTAGCGGTTGTACTGCACTGGCTAAATTTCTCATCTACAGCCGGGAGACAAGTCGCCTGCTGAGGCAGACTAACGTCCGTCTATATTAACATATACAAAACATTATTTTGCGATATATTATGACTTATGGGATTTGTCAAGAACGTGCTGCCTTTTCCGTGCCCCGTTCGGTCTGGTAGAAAAACAAACAAACAATAGAATAACATCGAATGATTTACCGGTTGACTATATAACTGATTGATTATTATTGTATGAAGTTCCCACCCAAAATAGGCGAAGATTAAATTATACGAGACAAGCGTGACTCGTATTGTCTCCGAGAAGGCGGTAATGATATTTATTATAGTCGCCGACAGGATGAAAACGACAGTATTTCTCTTTCGAACGCCCAGTCTCCAACACACGCTCCTTGCCATTGGCTGCGCGTGCATGCCCGTAGTTCACGAGACGCAGAAGTGTTATCGGAGTTCAGAAGCTCGCGCTGAAGGCAGGGAAACGGAGGGAAGTCTGCCTGTCGTTTTCATCCTCTAGGGAAAAATATACCATTCTAGGCTGCCTTCATGTGCGCTTTTCATAGGGTGATGACATTCTTTGTAGTACCCAATGCCGACAGCACGCGTTATCGAAAAAAATACAAAGAAATAACCGGTCACAAAACGCCACCGTCTATACTTCGTTTCACCTTATGTTGTACCGCAGGGAAGGCTAGAAGCGCGAGCTCATAGCGTTGGCAGCTGCTCTTAAGTCACGAGAGCTTGTGCCGCCGAGATTTGCCCCAGAGCAAAGAGCTCGCTTTTGTAGCCTTTCCTGCGGTACATCATAAGATGAAAAAGAATATAGCAATCTCAATGGAAAGAGGTCGTGCCGGGAGACGCGCTTGTTCGGGCTCAGGAACAAGAAAGAAACAAAAGTGTATGAAAAAATAATAAAATGTCATCACCCTCAGCAAAACGCACCTGAAGGCACACGAGACGCCATATTTGAGGGCGCTGTTTAAAGAGCATACTCAAAACGAGATAAGATTAATAGGCTGCTAAGACCGGCGATCTTGATGGTGCCGAATGCAGATTGCAAAAGAAGTGTGGAAGCTCGCCGTCAGCACGCGCTCAGCTGCAGTGAATACTCCCTATAGGGAGTATTCACTGAAGCTTATACTGAATACTCCCTATAGAGAGTATTCACTGGAGACCATACTGAATACTCTCTACAGGGGGTATTCGCTGGCGGCCATAGCTGCGTGCGCGACAGCTGAGCGCGTGCTGACGGCGAGTTTCCACACTCCTTTTGCAATCTGCATTTGGCACCATCAAGATCGCCGGTCTTAGCAGCCTATTAATGTGAACTCGTTTTGAGCTTTATCAAGAAATCGTGATGTATCCCATTTCTTTAATAAATACGTTTTCTCACTCACTCATGCACGCTAAACAACGCCCTCGAACATGGCGTGCAGTGGATCCCCTCTATAGTATTATGGCGATGATTCTGGCCGAAGCCTTTTTGAGCGTTCGAGCAAGTAGCGCGTGCATCACTGCTGGCTATAGTATAACTTGCACGTTGGACTCTGGATTTGTAAATATTGGAAAGGACTATTGGCGACGTGACCGATCGAAAGCGTCGGGGTGGTCAGCCCTCCACCCACGATTGGCCGAATGCTGACTGTGACGTCAGCAAAGGATTCCTCATTAACGGATATACGAGTAATGTAAGAACTTCAATTTTGACGGTGTTAGCAGTATTGGTTTAAAAGCACAATGATTTCCAGCTTCCACCACGCTAATTATAAACATAATCGAACGTCTTGTTCACAGGGTAATGACGTCACGAGAGGTAACCATAGGAGGGCGCCACCAAAACATCTCGCCGCTAATAGACCCTTTTACTGCTTACGAACATGAACCGCTGCTTGCGTTTCAAACGACTTCCCGTCGATCAGTCTTCTCAAGCCCGTCGGGCTTGCTTATGTCACCAGTGAAAGCATAAATGCTACATGGACAACAAAGTTGGAGATTCAGCGAGGGCCTTCGGCTGTACGATTTAACAACTTGAAGGAGGCATATAGGTTTACAAGAATATTATAAAAAATTGAACAGATCTCGCGCTTCTTGGTTCTTTTGGCGTTCACCTGGAAAATTGGTAGTTAAATATTTCATCGACGTTTCAAGCAGCAGCAGACTTATGGTGGGCTTTGTTATTTATTTTTATGAGTGGGATTTCGTAAACTCCTTTGATAAAATTCACGCTTTCAAGCACTGCCAACCATTTTTGCGGAAACGCGCAAGACACGTGCCACGTGCGGGTGCTCTGCCGCCATCTGCTTCCAAAAGTCGCTTGAGAGACGGGCCACCTGCACTGGCGCATTTGACGCTTTGCAAGACAATCGCAAACACATCGAGGGGCTTTAGGATGTCGCAGAGACGTTTATTGAGAGAGTTTGGCCATACATTGGTTTGAATATGCGAGCATCTCGGGGCCAATCACAGGCCGCGAAACAGCCCCTAGCGGTGGTCGTGTCCTCTAAATATGTGACACGACTAATTTGAGCTGTTTTAGCGTCGCTAAAGTGAAAAAGTTTAGCTCTCGGTGACTGAAAACTTTGTGCATTTGAGGTTTTAGTCACGCCAATATTCAAGTGTAGAATAAACAAACGTGCGCTCCAGACCTGGGCCGACTTGCTAGAGACAGCGTCTCAGCTGAGACGGGGAAAGGAAGCACTGTCAAAGCCAGCGCGCGAGTCGAGCGGGACTCCCAGTGTCAAGAGGCTCACGCGCCCCACCCTTTGCACTGTTTTCTTTCAGCCAGTCTCCGGTCACTGTTCTAGCAAGCCAACATCAGCAGTGCAGACAACGGCATGGGCACGAGCGCGTGGCTTTGGAAAGTGCCTCCTATGCACAAGTTCTCGTACAAGTAAATTATTTTGCTGAGCTAGGCTCACGCGCCTGTGCCTTTGTCTTCACTGCAGACATTTGTGAGATGGAGTAGAGAGGCTGAAATCGAACGCTTCTATTTCACGCTTTAAACGTCGTTTGCAATATTGTGACATCGCGGTCTCCTGATCGGTCGACGCTGTGTCACAAATTTAGTTTACGCTCTCAGCGCGGGGGGAATATTCAGCGCTGGCGGCGGCCTTTGCTCTGCCTATTGGCCAAACTCTCCCAATACACGGCTCTGGGATGTCGAAGACTGGAGCACCGCCTGGTGGCGTTTGAAAAGAAAAATATCTATAGACCAACACGCGGCTCCGACATCAAGCCGCTGAGGTGACTCTGCTGTCGTCACGGTGCACGTGCAGACGCTTTACTTCACGCAAAACTGGTTCTGCGTCCGCGCAGGGCTCACACTTCGTGCGGGCAAACGCATGCTTGCACGTAAACAGCGCGTTGCCCTATAGCACAGAGGAGCCACGGGAACGCAGAAACGCAGCCTCTCCCCGTTTTTCGAAGATAAATCTACACTGCTGGGTCTAGTGAAATAATTGGAGGGTAAAAATAGGCATTGGCAAGATGTGACGACGAGAGGAAGGGATATGTTTGTCTCTACGGCGTCTTTGCGTGAGCTCACCTCGTAGGTGTGGTAAACCTCGCTGCCTTCCTCAGGCCAGTAGCGGTGGCACATTGCCACGCCGTTTTCCATGAGTCTGCTCAGCATGACGATCACCACGCTGCCTTGCTCCCATATCATCTGCGAAGGGAAATATACAAAAAAAAGAAACAGAATGCAGATGGTCTCTTTTAAAGTAACAAAGCTACAACAAAGGCCACAAAAAAAAAAAAAAAAGTTCTTTTGGGTGATATGTTACTGGGATTCAAAACCAATCGAAACACTCGAGTGGCGTGTCACGTGATTGTTTCGTCATATCCAAAACACCCTTCTTTGCGCATGACAAAGGAGGCGCTAGAAGTTGAGAAGGAGCGATCACGTGTGCGCTGAAAGCTCCTGCCCCCAGCAGACGCTATTCTTTTCGGTGCGTAGCGAGCACAATCTCGGCGCCATTGTGTCGTTCGATCTCAGGCAGTAGCTATGGTCAGTAAAGACCTAAGAAACGCAGGGCGTGGCGAGTTCCAACCCTATCATTATCTCTCCATAGACAGTGAGTTGCCGTGTTAGCCGACACGGATGCCCAATGACAAATTACGAAGAAATACACGTAAACGTAACGAGCCCTGCATTTTTTTTAGCTATTAGTAGCTATAGCGGACTACGACGGAGCTCGATGCCTTGACGCTACTGAACCGCCTACGTGAGGAACGAATAAAAACATAATCGCCCTACATTAAAAATGCACTAGAAAGAAAAAAAAGAAAAAAAAAAAGAAAAACCGGAACACTTTGGTGTTTAAGCGCCGCATCTAGCAATCAGCTCAAACAGTTGGCGGAAACAAAATTGGAGGCCTTTGCGTTTTTTAACTATATCCTCCATTCAGAGTTTAGTGTCATAAATTCATTGTGCTCCTGCTAAAAAAAAAAAACAAAAAAAAAAACAGACGATCTTTTTTGCCGTATATGTGGGCTTTAAACGAAATGCAACCTTCAAATAAAATCCCAGTGCGACATGCAAGTTCATCTGCTCCTTGCGCCAACGTGCATTTGTTTACCCCCTAAATGCGCCCACGTGCGTTTGTTTACCTCCGACCTCAGCCAATGACGGCGCGAGCTTGGCTGCCTCGCCATCGCGTTTCCCATGCGTTATCTATGGTGCCCTTTGATTGGCGTGTCCCTCTTTGCGTTCCGATGCGCCCAAGAGATGTTTTAAGGCACTTGCTCGCCGCATATGACTGCACGACGCTCCGTTTACTCGCGTGTTTTGAAGTCTCATTGACTGTAAGGAAAAAGTGCTGACCTGCCAGAAGTCAGCGGTGGTGTGCGGTAGAGGGCCTTGACTGGCGATGTAAGCCGGGTTGCGTGGGTCGTGATCGGTCTGCGAGAAAAACAAACGGTTAATACATGTTCAGTTTTTTTTTGTATCTTTGCTCTTGTTTGTTGACGCTGTTGCCATCCACCTTGCAAATAGCCCCAGAAGTACAGTACACGAACAATACTGTCTTTATGAAACACTGGAGGAGAACATCTTGAATTTTGACATATTCATAGGATGACTCAATTGAGTTGTTGGCACGAGTGGCGTTAGGAACTAACTGCGTTACCAAATGATATTTAAGGCTCAAAAATATAGACGAAGGAAGCCATATCGATACATATGTCTGTGAGTAGTAGACATCCGAATGTGAGCGTTAGGTGCTGACGCGATATTATAGAAAGAATTGCGTTGGATATACACCAGTGCAAATAAAAAAAAAAAAAAGACAAAACTGACACCAACCAAAACAAAACAAAAAACGGCTGTTTTTTATAATAAACAGAACCACACAGCGCGAACAAACAACGACCGAGGGAATGCACAGAGTCAACAAGGAAATAATACTTTAGGATGTCTAAAAGTTTCGTAATTAGAAGTAAACCGATGGACAGGGCACAAACATCTACAGAGGGTGACACTTCGTTTAACCTTTGTCTGTCACATACATATGACTCTCCCCACAAATTCTTGCTTTGATAAAACTTCCTTGCCAGAGGAATTAACATAAGCAATCAAATTTGAAACTCGCCTCTTCCTTGTATGTATAAAAACGAATAATGAGACAACGTATACTGTTCGCGCTAGCTCTGTAGCGCATCGCACCAACTAAACATCAACATGCACACACACGCCCTGAGCCTTGCGTCACTACAATTTTTTTTAGACAACAATTAGTTTTCAGAAGGTATGACACGAGAAAAAAAATCACTCCACAACGTCGAAAAAAAAAAATCAGCTGACACTCCGCGTGAAACAGCACGTGCTTAAGTAAATTCAGATACACACAGGGGAGACTGAAATTCGCGCGAATGGCTTCCACTCATGCCAAACGACTCAAGGCTGATTCGCATATTTGTATTTGAGTGTGATCGACTGCAGTGCAACTGCTCGTGACCGTCTTCTGATCTGGCTATATTCACTAATGGTTTACGCATCATTATTTCACTATGCGCTGTAGATAATCCTGACAACGTTACAAGTGACTATAGAGGACGATCCACGTACTAAGGCAACGGCTCCTTCGGCTCCAACAAAACCAGTTTTTACTCCGTTTTGTCGGAGCCGATGCAGATGTTGCCATAGCAACCCTCGCTCTCAGTCGGACTCAACGCAAGCGTGTGAATCGGCCTTCACTCATAGAGAGTGTAACAATTTGATCGCACAAATGCTGCGCAATATTTGGTGCGGTCATGCTCAGGTGGGAAGTGTTCCAGTGCTACCCGATAGGTGGCGCCAGTGTGACAGCGTCTCGTCGCGAGGTGTCACAAGTGCTGGCAACGCAGTCAACCACACTGAAACGCATGCCTAAACCAGCCTTTGCTATTTGTATAGCTAAAACTTTGTAATGTGAGCGAAACGTCGATCACTTACGATTGTGCTAGCGTTGATATAATCGGAGCTGTTCATGTTGGACACATCGTTGAGGATCACCCTGGAGTGGTCATCTGCAGGACGAGACGCAGAGAGAAATGCTATAGATAGTCGCGCAGTAGAACTAGAACAGGTTCCACGAATGATTTTCAACGTAACGAGCAAAGCATATAGCAACTGTTACTTTTTTACATTTTATATATTTGTATATTACTATAATTATTGAGAGATTAAGATATGCAGGACATGGCAAGATCCGAGAATTTTGTGTCACTCCGCATCCAATAAGTCTGCAGCCTCAAGCCAATAAGAGCATCAAATAATAAATCACAAAGCAAAAACCATGAAAATTACGAGCGATTTGGTGAGTTGAGGGCTTTGATAGGGAATAGTACAGTAATTACAAGTCATACTCGACGTTTCTCAAGTTTTCAGGGACAGCAGAAGGATGCTGTAGTAATCGATATTACGAGGAAACGTGTACATAACTATAAAGAACAGTGAGAAATTTAGAAATATGCAGCAGAAAAATGAGCATGACGAGCACTCGAATATGCTCACTAAGCTCACTCGGAGTGGATGTCTGCGTGGACTTATCTTACACATCTGATGAGTTCTCACGTACTAATTTAAAAAAGAGGATATTTCTTCTTTTCTTTTTTCTTTCCCAACGTCATGCAAGAATTCCTTTTCTGTGGGCCCGTGCTTTTGTGGCTGTCATTTCTTATTGGCTGTAGCATGATTTCCTCACAACAGCAACTGGTATGGTCAGTCAATCCACACTATGAAAATCACACGCAGGAATGGCTTGCATCGCGAGCACTTGGTCTTGGATCCTGCTCTACTGCATGCACTTCGAGGCCATGATCTTACTCGCGTCACCTTAGCTGTAGAGGTAGAAATTACCACTCAGTAAAAGGGTCACTGATATAATTTAAAGCGCTCTCTACCATTTTTTGGTTGACGATAATTAGAGCGTCTTTACTTAAATTCGGATACAAAGTCATAGGAAATATAAACCTGACCTTTGAAAAGAGAACTAAAAATAAAAAAAAGCGTCAATGGTTTTTTTTTCTTCATAAAGTGGATATGTTGTATTGAGTATTAAGGACAACAATTTTTGTTAACTGCGGACGTTTCTCTTGAATGGAGGTGGCAACCTGTGTCGTCTCCCTGTTGCCAGAACTGTTGTACGTTTGTTATATTTTGTGTTCGCTATATATATTTCGCTAAAACAATTTACATTCGTTATGTTTGGCGGGTACAATGTAAGTTATCTGATGGGGACATCTCATTTTTATTATTACTTTTTAAGTAATACAACTCAGTTGGGAGCACAGCTGGAGTTCTCTCGCAAATGTTCCTATCGTTCTCCTCGCCTTTTTTTGTAGCTGTTATTTTTAACATACACAACTCGTACAGTTCAACACACCCATACTTTCAAACAAAGTAAGGCATTTTAACATATGAGCACGTGTCAAGACTCAAAACGAAACAAAGCAAAACAAAACAAAATAATTCGACAAACATCACAACTTGCAACTCCCAAACGTTACAGTATTTTGTTTTGTTTTTCTGCGGGTTTGGGATGGGGGAGAAATTTCCTAGAGCGAGTGCTACATTTACAACATTTGTGTGTAATGTGATTAAACAAATTAATGGAATAAATTTGTACCCAGGGGTACAAGACAGCAAAGACAAAACAAACAAACAAGCGAAGTCGAGCTTGCTCGACTTCGCTTGTTTGTTTGTCTCTATGCGCACGGTCTCTATGCGACGTCTCTATGCGCACGGTCCGATTCGCTTTAATCAGCTTATCACGTTCGGCTTGGCCCGCAGCATAACAGAGGCACAATCCGGGACAGTGTTTGTACAGCGCGCTCGCTCGAGTTTTGTCTAGGCGGCCGGAGGAATGAAATCATTCCCGTGCACTCCAGGGATGCTTATAATGCGCAGCCGCGGGCTCGTTTTCGGCTCGGCGGTGGGACTACTCTGGCATCGAGCTTTTTAGAAAAAAAAAAACACGTCAGATTTGGTGTATTGACATTTATAGTCATTATATAGCAACTGACACCTTAAAAAAAATCAGGGAGGGACTTATCTTGTTCACGTTTCTGGCGTCGGGATTCGCTCAAAACGCCACACTCCACAGAACGATTGGAATGAAGTATAAATAATGCTTTGTGAAAACTTTGTAAATATCAATGATTTAACTGTCTGGTTAACGCACATAGGTACAGCAACTTTAAACTAACTTACTGAATGCAGGCAAGGGCAAGCCTCAGTTAATACAGGTCCCGTCCTAGCGAACACTGAACGAAAGCTACAATATCGGATCTGAGCTAATCTGAAGTGAAGCAAATACTTTCCCTTTACATGCAGATTTTAGTTAAAATGTTGGAGAAGAAGGTATGTGCCACGCTCTCTTCATCTTGAACTTAGCGGCGGAAATAGGTATTAGTGCGTAACTAGACTTAATACGCCCGGAGAGTAGCCGTTGCGAAAGATTTAAGGCTGCGAAACCACAACCTTTTAGCATGTGGTGGGTATATTTTGTTCTATTTTAACTCTCGGTTTATTCTTAACTTTATTCGAATTCAAGTAAAAAAACATTTACCAAAAGCGTGAGGCTATATGATTATTGGTTGGTATGTACTGCGCTTCAGTGATAGATTATTCATATACTAACAACTAAAACTCCGGCCCATACTAAGGAACGCCCAAATTAAGACAAACACACGCCAAGACAGACCATCAAATGTTTCTTTCCCTAAACACTTCATAAATTGTGAGCTGTTAATTTTATAGGCTTCTATCGTCAATCATGTGTTAATCCGAAGCTAGTTTCCCGAAATATTTAACGATTATGCATTAACGAGAACAGAATTCGCATTCGCGGAGAATTCCACGTTTATTTAAATTTTTAACGAGCGCGCACTATATACTTACGTGTATGTGGTACATACAGTCAAGCAGCGTTCAGATAAGAAAAGCCTGGAAACGAGACAGCATAAAAAAAAAAAAAAAAAAGCGGGGCTATGTTTTTGCGGGGCCTTGCCCCAGACTGCGCCAAAATGGGATAGCATTGCTTGTCTCCTGTGAAGACTACAATCCCCCGATTAAACTGCAACGGACCTAGAGCGTGTAACGGAGCATGAAATGCCCCTTGCTTTTTTACAGTTTGCCAAGCGTAGCTCTTTCTCCTCCGTCGTCTCTCTTTGGCACGTCGAGCGCGATCCTACTCAGCACGTCACCGCTTCTGTTCCGCCATCTCCTCTTCGGTCCGCCGCTTTCTCTTGTGAGGCAATAACGAGTTTTAGTAGACCGCGTTTCCCCCTCCGCTAGTCCCCTCCGCTAACCGGCACTGTACAGCCAAGGCCATCGGCACGCAAGCACAGTGGCGGTATCTTCGTAGCGGAAGGTTAGCGGAAGGGGAAACCCGGTCTAGTAAAACTCCCTAATAGGGAGTTCTGAAAAACCGTACCCCAACGCTTCCGGGAGCGCCCGAGCAGCCTTAGGGTTTCGGACTGCGCCTGAGTAGTGCGACGCCCCAAACTGCGGGGGGGGGGGGGGGGGGGGGGGGGGGGGGGGTTCAAAAGCATCGAGGCCGCCTATACCAAAACTCCCTAGTTTGAAGACCACGGCACATCTATTGAGCGCCCTGGTACCGCAATCCTCGCATGCGAGCGGTAAAAAAAAAAAAAAAAAAAGAGAACGGCGTATGTACCTCACGGCCAGAACATATTGTGGAGGGTGACGTGATAAAATGCTATCGGTTTTAATATTTCCGGCGTCCCTTTTTAACTGTCAGGGACCCGGTGTCGTTTATAGCGCAGAAGCATACTCACAAGGCAAGACGTCCGGGTATCTGTTCTTCTTCATGTTAGCGGCCAGCGAGGCAGCGGTCGTGGCGCAGGGGTCGGCTTCGTACGCGCACAGGGCTTCCCATTCGCGGGCCAGGCGGTCTTTGCACTTGAGGTGGTCTTCCATGTACGACTGCCAGGAAAAGAAACAGCCGGGAGTCACGCCAGGGCGGCTTTTCTAGAAATAACGTCTCGGTTAAGACTGCGTGAAAAAAAGAATCCGCAGATTTTTGCTATAATGTGAGAAGTGAGAGCGATAGCTGTCACTTTTCAGATTATGACAAAGAACGTAGCAACGTACACATCTACTTTTCTTCACTCGATCACACATATTGCAACCTTCTGGTCACTGAAGTATGCTGACGCAATTTTATCGTTTGTTGGCTAAAATGGGCTGAAACGAAATCTATTGGTTTCATCAGAAAGAGGCGAACGTTTTCTTCTGATGACGAGGCAAAGATATTTGCCTCGTCATCCAATAAGCTAGCTTCGATTATTATTACAGAACACAAGAGCTTTCTTCCTTTAACAATTTTTTAGAAGAGTGATCGGTATTGGTTTTATATTCACAGAGTTTCTTTGGCACTGATTTACTCAGTTTCACAGAATATTCATCAGTGCTATTTGTTGCCTTGAATTAAGCTTTTTTTTAAGAGTCTTCTCAATGGCCGTTTAGTGCGTAAATAAATATTATCGTTTCGAAAATCTCAGTAAATCTACTTTGTCGTAGTCGTATCGGTTCTGATGACGCAAGTCAGATAAATTACGTGAAATACATCGCTATCGTCTGCTCTTGTCAACAGCACAAGGTGCGTTCTAAAAGACAAAAGAACGCAGAAAAAAAAAACAATAATCTTCAAGAAACTCCGTTCGCATCTTTCCAAGCTACCTCTGATCCCCAAAAGAGCCACACTGCAGCAAAAACAACAACAGATCTCAACGCAATAGAGGAAACTTATACAACTGGTAGGCGCCAAATAAACAAAACGGAAAACTTCAAACTAGCATAACTCTAGAAGACTTTCTGGTACATGCCCGAAAAAAAACAACAAAAACATCAGCAAAAACTTTGAGTCAACGCAGCTTCCGAAGAGGCCGCCGTAGAAGCGACTGGCGACAAAACAAACAAACGAAGTGAAGCTTAAAACACCTACAAACGCGAAGAAGGGAGGTAGCGGTATATCCAACGGGCCACCTCCGTCTTTTCTAGGGCTCGGCCAAATTTGCGAGTGTTTCCAAGCGTGGTAAAGAGACGGACAAAAAAGTCCGAAGTGGGGATGTCTGCGCCGACGCGCCGCGCCACGCCGCGCGCGTTGAATTACAAGCGGGGACCTGTTCTCCCAGTGGGTGCGCGGAGAGTCTCAGTGAAGCGAAGGTGACGAGGGGTTGGTGCCCGCTCTCGATTCCATTTGTTTCACGGAGACAAGGCTGGAAGCGACAGTTCTCCTCGCGCGCTCTATCCACCCCCCCTCCCTCATCTTCTTTCGTGCCCAAACTCTGCTTCACTTCGCCCCCCCCCCCCCCCCCCCCCCCCCCCCCTTTTCCATCTTTCCTTTGTCTTTCATTTTTCTCTTCTGTAGGTCTCTATTGGTTTGTTTGCGTTTGTCCAACTTTACCTTGCCTTCTTGGATGTGCCGCTCTTCCTTCTTGCTCTCTGCGGGTCTCTGTTTTTCTGACGATCTCTCTATCTCGTTGCTTCGTTCCTTCTTTTTCCGCGTTCTTTTTGCTCATCCTCTTTTGTGCTCCCGGGGACACAAAAGTCCAGGGGGGACATTTCTTGGTGTCGCCCCCGGCCAACCCCCGCATTCCCTTTGATTCCCTTTGTTTTTAGTTTGCTTTCTATTCGTGTTCGTGTAAAAAAAAAAAAAAAAAGTAAACCAATAATGAAGAAAATTGGCCACCCATTTTCTCGAAATCGGCTCCGCTCCGGTCACGAGCTGTAATTCTTGTCTTGGGACGTTGTTTATATCTGTTGGTTGGATTTAGTGTTACCTCAAATCTGCGTGAGTATGTGTGCGTGTGTGCGTGTATATGTTTGTGTATCTGGTGCATACGAGCATGTCTGTGTGTGTCTGTGTACGCACGTGTGTGTATGTGTGAGTGCCGTTTAAAATATTTACCGTTCCTCTTTCACATTGTAATTTTCTTTTTGACAACATTTTTGCTGTTTGTATGTGCGCTGTCTCGTTTCTTTGGACGTTTCAGAGAGTTTAGAAGACAAGGTAAAGAAAACGTCGCTCTTCCGCAAACTTGTTTGGCCAGAAAATGGGGTGATGGCGTCCAAGCACTTCGAGGTAAATATATTACTGGACTAGTAAACAAACATGCACGCCCACACACACAAACAAGGGTAAGCAAACAAAAATAAAAATGTACGCATCTATGTTTTTGCTGTCACCCTCTTGGTCCACTCTCTAGACGCCAACTACGAGAAAGCCTTTGGTTTCGAGAGTACATTCCTGTTTTTTTCCTTTTGATATGAGATTGTGACGCCACGGCTATTCGAAGCGAGTTTGAACAATTTGGTTACTTCTACTTTTTTTTTGTTTGATTCGATATAATCACCGACAGCTTAAGAAACGCAGGGCGGGACATTTGATGTACACGCTTGTTGATTTGTGATTCGTCCTCCAACGTTTTTATTGGCTAATGGCACACTTCGATTGGCTGCAGGGCAATAACTGGATCCTTGAGCCTCGTCACACTCTGCGCTGCTTAAGTTGTCGGTGACTATACGGAGCGCAAGTTCGTCCGCTTCTTGCGCATGGGTCGCGGTGACGTCAGAACGCCGAGCCCTGATTGGCTCGATTGAAATGATAGTGGATGGACCTCAAAGCAGGCTGCCTTGTGGTCTACCCACTATCCTTCAGTCAGAACCAATCAAAGGTCGGAGTTCTGACGTGACCGCAACACCTGCCAAAAGAAAAGCAGAAGAACTTGTGCCCCGCATAGCTATCGGCCGAATCAATCCGTAGCCTCATTCAATCATTTTACGCGCCGGAGAAGCACACGTGCGAAATAAACGCCGTATTATCGCGCGAAGAGTTTGTCAATAGTAAGTGCCTAAACCTGAGGTGAAGTTTAAAACCTTTTAATGAAGGGAACTATTTATTGTTTAACTAAGAAAAAAAATGGTGCGCGCTTGATTTGTTCTGTGTTGCTGTTTTATTTTATTATTGTATTGCATTCTGTATGTGCAGAGACACCGGATCCAGTCAAGCTTCCCACTGAAAAGCTGTTTGTCCAGTGTCTCCGGCACAAATTTCTTCTCTAAGCTCAAGCTGAGGTTAGCAGACAAACATTTGGGCAGAACATTTCGGAAACAAAACTGATTGCAAAACGCCAGGCGACCGGACGTACGACACAAACGATTGTGACTTTCTCCGAGACACGCCTGTCTTCACGCATTACGTTGTTACAGGAAATATTCGAGTATTTAACCTCCTTTTACCGAGACGATCAAAACGTAATGTAATAAACCAAGTTGCAACGCAAAAAAATTAAAGCGCGCCTGCAAAAAAATAAAATAAAAAAAAATAATTTGTCTTGTAAATATTTTTAACGACACGTGCGGATAATTTAGGATAAAATAAGGTGATACAAAACAGTCTGCACTGAAACTGAAGAAAATAAGCACTATTTTAGGCCGCAATCATTAAAACGTTCTATAAAAACGTATCTGATGACATTGTTATGAATAACATCCATCAAAGTGAACACAGACAAAACAAATTTAGGAGGATAAATGTTTATACGAGATGTGAAGCTTTCATGACCCTTTTTCTCGCTCTAACTCCTGCGACGACGCTGAAAAACATCGATGTACCTTAATGTATTAAAAGTACGAATGAGCATGCTTCTTCACTAAACAAAAAAAGATTAAAGCCTCCTTACGAGGATCATGTGTCCTGTAGAGACGTCCAGATTAGACGTAACTGGTTCTTCACTCCTGAAACGAAAACAAGAGGTCATTTAATTAAAGGGGGACGGCAAAGCTTACGCAACAAACGAATCAACATGAAGATTTGCCGCAAAAAATAAAAAAACCTCCTTAAAAACAAAAAAACACCACGACTGACTAGAAAAGAAAACTTTGTGATAAAGTAAAAAAAAAAGAACCTTTTTCTAATTACAAATTAGAAGCACCACTGAAGAAATAGGAAGCCGTTAATGGCTCTCGACATAGCTGCCAGGCTTATAATTTTATCACTTAATATGTCTTTTTAAAAATAAGAGTAAAACAGACGCGGCGACTGAAACGCCAAGTGCGTAAACATGACGCTGAAATCTAAGAACAGATGTCACGAGACTGAAGGACAGTTGACGCGGAATATCCGGAAAATTGCACCTTTCAAATATATATACTTTTTACATTGTCGACATGTCTAGGCTTTCTTCTTGAGAGTTAGGCCTGACGCAGGATACTTGTTAAAATGCCGTTGCGAGTTTTGGTGATATCGCTAATCAAGCGAGAAAAAATGACATGACAACCAGGGCACTCGATCGCCGGCTCTCTCGACATTGCGTAAGCTAGTAGGTTCAGCGGATGAATTCAATAGACGTTACCTGTTAAACAAGGTCCCGGTTCAGTGTGATACTTTGGGTAGCATCATTCGGGCGCATACAATTCAACGGCTCTACGGACCTGTAGAGATCTAGCACAGCTTGGGAGTTCCGGAGTACCAACATACAAACATATCACGTGTTATCGTTTTTGATGAGCATAGACGGCGATTTTCAAGAGTAGGCCCACCAATTCCCGCGATCTTATAGCTACTGATATTTTAACAAACGCTTGGCACGGCCTATTATATTTGCGATTCTCGCTTTGTGATCCCTTGTTCGTTGTCCTTATATCGTTTAAAAGAGTCGTCTCACTCTTTGTGGAGAGATAATAAGGTGATCAGGAGTCGCCATAACCTGTCAAAGACTATAAGCGCGATGTTAAGCCAAGCTTATATTATTAGAGTTTCTCTTCGTGCGTAGTAGCTATTTTTGTCTATTTCTAGAAAGTTGAGAGGTCTCCGGGATTTTCAGAAAGCAACGTTGCCGAGTAGACTCGCAAGCTTCATGCGGTGCTTCATATGTTCGTTCTAGTATACCTTCAAACAAGCTGGATCATGCGTCTGATGACAGTTTAATTGACATCAGCGGAGATTGTGCCCATGTTCCGGCTTCAGTATAGGAACCGCCCTTTTTAAGAGTAACATTACATTGCAAAGTATCGACTAAGTGAGAACCAGAAACTATTCCTATCGGCCAAGGGGATACGGCGGCAAAAAGAGGGTCGCGCCTGACGCTAATGTCGCGATATCGCATGCTAAACCTTGCTCTAGACGACAATGCCGGACTAAGCTTAGTGAATCCAGCCAGGGTGAGCTTCCAGCAAGTTATAACTACAAACGTTTTTGTTATAAATTAAACGAAAAAATCAGGTGGATGGCTGTGCCCTCTGTCTACCGCACGTGAAATGCAACTAAAGTGCAGTGGAACGCTACGTGAGTAGAAAAAGGAAACTACATTTCTGTATCCTTAGAACGTGACTTCACGAAGGCGGCTTTTCTTTTTTTTTTTTCTTCGAAAGAAAACCACTTTTAAGTAATTCATGACTTTTTATTTGTACGCTACGTCATTTCTAATTAGAGTTATTAGTAATATTATGACAGATTCAATTCAATGAAGTAGAAATGCACACCGTATCATTGAAATAATCGTTTTCTGCCATGAGTGCAGAGCGAGATACCCGGCGAATGCAACACATTCAGTGCCGCGTATTACGGCAATTTTTTTCTTTTATAAAATTTGAAAGCCATTTGTTTGACAAGCAGATCCCAGTAAGCAAATTTTAAAACACAGGCGCTTATCTAATAAAATCAATGGGATATATGAAGTCATCATAACTCCACATTGTTTATCATGACAACATATCGTGTGAACGACAGGCGCAAACGCGAAAATCCGGAAAGTGCTTTATTTATAAGTCGAGTACTAATGCAAACGCAAAAATTTCCCGAACTACCTTCTCTCCTCGCGTGTACACTTTCCATAACTTGGCACACGCTACTCCTTCAGGCGTGTGTAGGAGGGTTGCAGCGAATAAAAAGAAAAACCAGGAAGAGCAGGTTGTGGGCTTCCCCACACGAAGAGTGTGCCTGCAGAGAAGCATGCTCTGCAGAGCTCGTCTTTTGGCTGGGAGTGCGTGACGGACGCGTTGCATCAATGTGGGCAATGATTCGTCTGTTCGTCTGCATGCTTAAAATAACGCTTAACAAAAAAAAAAAATGATAGTGTTAATTTTAAACGCGCAAAGGCTTGTATTTTTATTCGCTAGTCAGAAAGCTTGCACCGTAGGCAGGATTACTAAGCTTCGTAATGTCAATTAATTGCTCTGGGAATAACATTGCCCCCCACCCCGACACACACACACACACACACACACACACACACACACACGCAAACGCACACGCACACGCACACGCACACGCACACACACACACACACACACGAAAAAAAAAGTATAATAGGAACGTTGACATTCTTTAATAAATCTCCGAGGTGAAAGCAATCATTAAAAACTTCGCCTCAACTTGCGAGCTTTATAATCGCTCGCCAGAACGACTGCTAACTATGGCCCTCAAGTATTTTGTGGTACCATAATACTAAAACTAAGATACGTTCTCGGCAATAACCCGAACAAATCAAACGGTAGTTCAAAAACAATAACTCCAGAACCTACTTCGCAAAAGCAAAAATGATACAAAAAACTACCAAAAAGGTCAACTGACGTTAGCGGCCGTAAATGTTCCGAACGTTTCGTGGAGTTCTCGATACGGGCAGCCTAGTTTGGCCGTGGAAAAATAATAAATGCCGACAGGCGCCCGTCCCACATGAATCAGAGGCGGTTATAAAACAATACGCTTGCCCGATAAGCGTCAGCTTCCACGTACAAGTGTTCCGATAGCGACAAAAATAACCCTTCACAAAAGAAAAAAAAAAAGAAGAAAATCGCAAAAATGAGTTAACACCACCCAAAGGACGTGTTCCAGATTTTGCTGCTTCGGCACGCTGTTGACGTGGGGCACGGTACTAAAATTCGTAAAATAAAAAGAAAAGGAGTAAAGATTCGAACTACCAACTTTCAATAGCTGCCAATCTGACGTGAACGTGTGGCGAATGAATACGCGGTAAGGTCGGCGGAGATTTTGTATTGCGAGTCCGTTGGTTGTACAACCTTGGGCTAAGGTATAAGGTGAACCGGACGTAGCAAACATGTCCCGTATCGCGTATGGAAACATGCCCGCAAGTGGGTTTTGGTGAAGATTCACCTTGAAGGCTAACAAAATTTGTGCCACTCAAACTGACAAGCCGGCGAAACATTGCCGCAAGGAAAGTGAGTGGCGAGACACACTTCCTTCGACGAGAGTAAGAAGTGCTTATTTGTGGTCTATTTCGCTTATGCCGCGAACGAGGCTGTGGGAGGCATAGCCGGCACAGACAAACACGCTCACGCGTGACCTATCTCGTTTACCGCGTATGAGGATACGGAAACGTAAACAGCCCAAAGCAAACGTGTGGATTTGAAAACTAAATTCACGGATAGCATAAGAAACCCGCGGCGAGTCTCGAGCCTTTTGGTGGGCAGCCGATAAGATTGCGGCAATTAGCCGACAACAACTTCGATTCACGAAGCATGACAGGCCAGCATGCTAAGCCACACCGTACGCTTCTTAAGCCCCCCGTGACTCTACGAGGGTCAGTGCATCTTAAAAACACTCAAGAGATAAGCGAGATTAGTGCTCTGGCGTTTTTTTGTTTGTTTTTCGGCGAATGCAGCGAATTTCTGGACTGCGGGTTGATAATAACATTGTTCCGGAGTTTCGTTTGCTAGGCGTTGTCCGTGGTCAGGTTAGAACAAATTGTCCGTTGGCCCCGTGCCGTCTGCGCGCGCGCACGTCGTCGTCGTCTTCAGTTAGTTCTAATTAAGCGCCGTTCACACACTACCAACCGAGAACGACCGAGAGAGATAAGACCGGTTTTTAAGCCTCTTGCGACGGCGTAGGACCTGCCCCGCAGCAGCGCATCCGGTCTTTCGCCGTCGCAAGAGGCTTAAAAAGCGGTCTTGTCTCTCGCTCGTTCTCGGTTCATAGTGTGTGAACGGCGCTTTACGCGGCCCAGTGCCACCGCTACGCTATCTCCTCTATGGGTTTTGGAGGGATGTCGATCTCTTCTAGGGTGCCATCATATGCACTTTGTTTAGGGTGATGAAATCTGACCACTTTGTTCTCAACGAATTTTTTTTTTCTGTTTTTGAGCGCGAGCAAGCGTGTGGGTTTTCACAAGCTTTTGGCATTGACAGTGCTTCGACCATTTAGTAACATTGGCTTTGACGGCATTTTGTTACCAGCTATTTATTTGTATTTTTCTCGATAGAGCGTGCTGTCGGCATCGGGTACTACAAAGAATGTCATCAGCCTAAGAAAAGCGCACATGAAGGCACCCTTTCCATTGAATCATTTTAATAATAATAAAAAAAGAAGCTCGCTACGTTGTATTACAGCTAGGCAGTTTTCTGCGGGTGTTTTGGCTCGTGCTCTCCTTTTCACACTCTCGAAATTCACGCCAACGTCACAGCTCCCCCCCGAAATACAAAAATCCAGCACATTGGCGCTTTCTGAAGTTGATGCGTGGAATCTTGTCACCTGGGCGCCGGTAGCTTCTGTTTTCGTCACTCATGTCCGGGCAGAACTCTGATGCCGCCACACATCATATCGGTGCAAAAACATCACTGCGCAGTTGCGCATTCTGAAAATCAAAACTGAAAATGAGATGCGCCGGCAACCCCGAAACCCAAGAGAAGATGGAACGTTTTGTGAAGATTTCTGCTCATGACGTCATCCTCTGAATGGCTACCGCGAGGACCAGAAAAGCATTCAAGTACAGGGCGCACCT